GTTTTCAGAGATACTTGTAGGGACCTGTAAATTTTCAGTTCTTGCAAGGTGGTATGATAAGGGGCGAGGTGTTTACTCCTTTCCTGGCCTGTGACCACAAATATTCCTTTCTGTCCTGTAACTGTGAGGAAGGGATCCTCTCCACAGCCACTCAAGCTCCACCACGCCAGCGTTCCTCCTCACCCCAGCACTGCCGCCAGAACTGTGACCCAGATCCAAACAGGGGCAAAGCAAGAGATTCCTGCCTCAGCACTGGCAAAGAGATCCCTGCAGTCCCTCTCTGATCAGCCACTAGATTCCCCCTCAGTCTGTGGGCCAGAAGCTTGGGAAGCAGCTGCCCCCCCAGGGCCACTCTTGGGGAATGGAGCTGAAACCCCACCTTCCTTCTCAGCACCGACAGAAACAGACTTTTCCCACTGACCTTCTAAGTTGTCTTTGGCATTGTGGATTGAGGAGTCTGGAAACCTCCACAGCTGCCCGCGATTCAGTCCTCTGAGGCCTGCTCCAGGTTTGCTGCGGCCTGTGCGCCCATGCTGCGCTGCGCTGCGCTCCCAGCCCGGTGCGATACACCTTTCTGATCAATCATCCAGGTTGTCTTGGGGGGGAAATTTGTTTCGCTCTGTCTTTTTGTGGGTTCTGCTGCTTCAGAATTTGTTTAGAGCCATTTTTTATGAGTATTTGGAGGGGTTTGGGGGAGAGCTCAAGCAAGTCACTGCTTTCACTCTGCCATCTTGGCTCCACCCCTCTTTATATCTTTAGTGACTAGTTCAATACCTGGCACATGGTAAATTCTTAATAAATAGTTGTAGATTTAGTTTTTTTTCCCAGAAAGGTATGGAATGGTCTCAAATCAGAAGTGTAAGGTTATTTGTTTCCTTATTATAGTACATAGGCATTAAAACAGAATCGTCTGAAAAAATAAACATAAGAATGTGTTTTTTTCTTGAATCTTCTCCAAAGACATCACAAGAAGATCAAAGTCAACAACTGCACATCTTTTGTTGTTTAGTGTAAAGCTTCCCTCTTCTCCTAAATGAAGTTTTGTTTTTGGAAACATCCTTAAAATACTTACAGGCTTCTTTTGGTAAGATTTAAGAGCAAAAATTTGAAAGGCTGGAATCATAACATGATTTCATTCTTTCTCAACCCCAAAATAAAGTTAAAGCAGATAGACTCCAGCCCACCCTTACACAGGTTCAAGTTATACATTTTACATGGTACGACCAATATTTCAACTTCCTGTGTTATGCAACTTCACTTTTACACAGTATGGGAGGCATCTGCAAGCTAGCAATGAATCAAAGGACAAGATTTTCATTGGACAAAAGAGGTACAGACTACTAGTTGCAAAGTAAATCAAGTTCATCTTCGGTACTATCCTGTCTCTCACCTGGCAATCTCTAATTTGTGATCGACAGGCTTAGATGAGCTATAAATTCCATCACAGCATTTTGCTTTTAAATATCCTTTTAAAAATGAAATCCTATCATTAAATCTCGGTGTTGAGTTTCTATCCTGGATACTCAATGCATTCAGGAGCACAGTTTTAAATTACAGCGTTTTGCAGACCATATTCACTGTGGGGCTTCTCTGTATTATATATGTATCATTTAGGAGGAATTCATATGATCTCTTATTTTAATACCTTCAAGATCACTGCACAGGGCTATAAACCTATTCCCTAGGTCAGCAGAAAGAGCAAAACTCCCATGAAATAGTGATTTCAGTTACTCATTTTAGAATATTCCTATTTTATATAAATATGCCTATTTCTATCACAAATAATTAATAAGTACATACTGAGATTTATGTGGGATTTCACAGACACACCATGTTCTACATACATTCTAATTTAATCCAATCAACACTGTGAATTCTGTAGGTACAAGCATATATAGGAGGTAGTAAAGCAGGTATTCAAATCTCTTTCCACCACCACATTACTTTTCAAATTATATGATTTGGATGGGAAAAAGTTGTCATGCTTATGGGAAAACAAAGTGCTTTAGAAATACTTTACTAGCAGCCTGGGACAATGGGAGGAATAGCAAACTAAAAATTAGGAAACTTGTTTTCTAGTCCCAGTTCTTTGATTAACTAGCTGTGTGACTAACTAGTTTGGCCAGTTACTCAACCTCCTCTGTGTTCGAGCTTTCTCATTTGTGAAATGAGGGGGAGTGATACCAGTGGCCCAAATTCATATGCACACCAATCATTCTCATTATGTACCTTTTCAATCAATGTTGTAACTAGTATCATGTGGAAGGTATGCAAAATTTGGTATCAAAAGGGATTCTCTATACCTAGAGATTAAGATCTAATGGGTGAGGCCACTGGATCTCCAACTTACCTTCCAGCTCTATAAGTCAATAACTACCTTAGCTCCAGAACTTCAAAAAACTTAAGATTTACTTTCCTTTGTACAAAAATTTAACTGCACACAAGAGGAGCAGACATTTGTAGAGTACTCTACAGTTTACAAAGTACTCTGAACATCACCTCATTTATTCTCACTAAAACCTAGTAAGGTAGACAGTGTATTTTTTTCTTATCATTTTTCAGATGAGGAAATAAAGCCTCAGATAATTTAAGAGACTAACCCAGGTCACATAGCCAGTAAGTGTGCAGAGCCAGGATTCCAACACAGATATACTGACTCCAATTCTAGTTGGTTTTTTTTTCTACGACACCATTCAGCCCTGAATGTCTTACACATATATAGGACTTTTAACAACAGCAATAGTTACCTTTTATATAGTGCCAACTATGTGACAGAAACTGTGCTAAGCACTTTACAAATATCTTGTTTGCCTCTCACAACAACCTTTGGAGGTAGGTGCTCTTGTTATCTCCATTATATATCTGAGGAAACTGAGGCAGGCATTTGTTAAGTGACTTGCCCAATATCACACAGCTTAGCAAGTGACCAGAGGCCACATTTGAACTCAAGTCTTCCTTACTCCAGGCCCAGCACTCAATGTACTGCAAAGCGTAACTGCCTTGTTATATAGCATGTACTGTACACATATGATTTCATTTGATTAAAACACCTTTGATAGAATAGGATGAGACAATAGTGTTTATTTAACTCCCTGCAGTTTAGTCATCAAGCGTATGTACCACATCTACTAGAAAGGAAACAAACTGAGCCAGATCTGGGTAGTTAACAACTAGGGAACAGTGAGAAACTTTACTCCCTACCTCAACAGCCACCAACTAGAATAAAGGTTAAATCCATCTTTAGATGAGACTTTCTCTGCCTTGTATCTCCATTGTTTAACCCAGTACTTTGCAATAAACAAGCACTTAATAAATGCTTGTTGACTGACTGATAAATGAGAGATTATTTCCACCACATTTTAAAGTTTAGGTTTGCCCTGGTCCTTTTGTTGTAAAGGGGACTAGCAGATTTAACAATTCAAGTTTAAATGGCAAAGTTCTAGAAGGCAGGCACCATGCCTTAAAGTTAATCTCTAAATAATACTTAAAGTTCCTGCCTAGGTAGGGCTTGGTGCTGGTGGGTGCTATGGTTATATTTGTTGTAGCACCTTGAACAGCTCCAGGAACACAAACGTGTAAGTTCTTTCAAGGAAGGGACTCTTATCTTTTGTCTTTGTATCTTCTTTGCCTAGCAAAGTGCCTTCAGACACTTTAAAAATGTTTGTTGAATTCAGTATACATTGCTTTGAAATACAGAAACAAAGGCCTCTGAAAAAGCAAGCTAGAAAAATTTAGAGTTGGAGTATCCAGGCCTGCTTCTTCTATCAGCAAAATAATCTTTTCATACAATAGGATCAGAGCTCCTTAGAGGGCCCTCAGAGGCTGTCTAGTCCAATCTCTTTACAGTTGAGGAAACGGGCCCAGGGAGCTTAAATGGCCTGTCACACAGGCAGTGTCAGAGGTGATATTTGAATCCCAGGTATGCTTAATCGTTTTAGTATCGACTTATTCCTCCTAGTGTTCGTGTTAGGGCTGCATTGAACAGGTGGGAGGCAGGAGACCACGGGTTCTTTCTGCAAAGATGCTGCTTGCAGTGACCTTGAGAAAGTCATTCCGGCTGAGCCCTAATTTCCCACTCCAAGTTGGTGGTCTGAAAAGCTAGTGTTGGAAACCATGGTTACAGGTAGGCGCTTAGGCTGAGCTCACTGCTCCCAGCCTTCGATCCTGGATCCCTTCCACAGGCGAGAGAATCCAAACAAGCCTGGAGGACCCCCGCAAACCAGAAGAGCCAGAGGCCGTTCCTTCATTCGTCAGGCGTTTCTCTCCCCCTTCGCCCACTAGTGACCCCGAGATATCCCCTCCCTTCCTGTCATACCCCTTGATAATAATCTCCAGCACTTCCTTGCAGCAACACTCCGAATACTCCAAGCTTACACCTCATCCCCCAAGCTTCGGACCCATTCTTTAAAGGGACCCCAAATAGATATGCCGAAAAGAACGCCCCTGCCGTCCTCCACCTGAGATCTCCCACCCTCAAACCCCGTTACAGGATTTTTGTATTCCCCACCAAAGACATCGTTATGGCGCTCCGGCAACCCCCCCACCAGACACCATCCTTACAAGACCCCCGTTACAGCATCCCCCATTAGGGATCAGAAACCAACGTTACAGCCCCCGTGTCCCTCACGCAGGACCATGGTTTCGGTGGCCCCACTTTCCCACGCAGCATCCCAATGTCCCCCCCTAAGCAGGAACCGCATTACAGCGACCCGGTAGCCCCCCACCTGGCACCCCAATACAGCACCTCTGTGTCCACGGGGGACCATCGTTACAGCGCCTCTGTGTCCGCAAGGAAAGCCTTAAGGCGACCCCGTGCATTAGCGCCTGCTTTCCTCTGGAGACCCTCGCCCTTCGTTACACAGCTGCAGCAGCTCCCTGGAAACCCACATCTACGCCCCCGCCTCCCCCCACCTTCCCCTGGCTCCAGCGCCTCTCTCCGGGAGGGGTCCGTCACTCCCCACCCCACCACCTCCCTACGCCGTCAGCGCCGACGCGCTCACCTCCGCGGTGAGAGATGTGTTTACTGAGGAATCGTTGCTTCTTCTTCTGGTGTAGCAGGGTCGGGTACTTGAGCAGCAGGAAGGAGGTCACCACATAGCCCCCCAGTGTGGACAGCAAGTAAATCGCCGCCGAGGGCGACATCGCAGCTGCTAGAGTGCGGAGGGCCGTCCTCTCCCAGCACGGCCCTCGCCCCTAACCCGCGGCCCTGCGAGCTAAGCGGCGAAGGCAACGGCACCAAAAGGAGACCCGGCAGCTCCGTCGGCTGCTCCAGGTCTGCTCGCCCCCAGCCGGAGCCGGGGCTCTAATACACTTGTCGACGCAGGGCCCACTGCGCAAGCGCGACCAGACCCGGAGGCGGGGGGGAGTAACAAAGGGGTCCCAATGCGCAAGCGCACACGGGTTACTCGAGGGAAGCTTCCCAAGAGGATGCGGCGTCACCTGCAGGAGTGAGTCTTTTGGAAGGTATATGAGCAAACCGCCCAGACTGGGTCAAAGGTTTGTAAATCTGCCACTTACCAGATAGGAAAGCATGATTAAAAGGCAGATTAAGATAATTATAAATGTAATTTAAATAACCATCATTAAGTGCTTACCATGTTATATGTAAGTGTCATACGCAACATTAAGACAGATCCCAGGGAATACCTTCCATTCCCTGGTTACAAAAGCAGAAGGATTATTTACAGGATCATAGATTCATATTGACCGTTATAGCTCCTGTTACATATGAATAAACTAAAGCCCACAAAGACAAAGACTTAGCTAAAAGCTAGTTAAATTCACACCAAGCTCCAGACAACCTATTTATTTTTTGCTTGTTGGCTAGGTAATGGGGTTAAGTGACTTGCCCAGGGTCACACAGCTAGTTAAATGTTATGTGTCTGAGGTCACATTTGAACTCAGGTCCTCCATGACTCCAAGGCTGGAGCTCTATTCACTGCGCCACCTAGCTGCCTCCAGACAACCTATTTATGAAAGTATATGTGGATTTTGAATCATCCAGTCCAATCATCAATATACATAAATTTCAGAAAATTAAAGTATGCCAAAACACACAAAAAAAAGATTGCTTAAAAAAAATAACAGGAAACTTCAGGCAATGCTTGGATCCCACTCAAGCATTGGGTCCACCCAAATCTTGTGTTTTGGGTTCCTCAAATCTGAATGTTTATATTTACATTTCAATTGACCATAATTTGAATGTTTATTGCTTATTGCTTATTGATATAGCCTGGGAACCTGCCCTGTCTACAAACTGGGTGGACTAAAGTTGGCTGGACTGCTACCAGCAGTTCGTGGGCTTGTCTGAACCCTATATAATACGAATCTCAAAGAGATTAGATAGGGAGCTTCCAGCTCTCCTCTACCAAATGATCAAATAAATTTCTTTCTAAAACTTAAAAAAACCCAAAGTGGAAGCCCAGGGAAAGTACACCATAGGCACTCCAAAGGTCAGGCAAAAAAAAAAAAAAGCAAAAACTTTACGTAGTTAACTGGCAATAAAAACCAGGCTATTTTGACAGAGAAAATTAAATCTTTCAAGATGAAATGATCACCCATCTGAAATCAGATAAGTTAAACAAGTGAAGCAGTTCAGAATTAGAGGAACCATTTATAAAAAACTCTAAACCATAAGTTTTTTACACACATCAAAGGCAGGAAGGAATCACTACAGACACAATGGGACTAATTAATCCCTGCACAAACAGGACACAAAGGATCAAAAGGCAGCAGTAGAGATTAAATGAATTCTTAATCTTGGGCTTTAATTGGTTAGATATATGGAGTCTTCCACTCCTACACTGCCATTTGTAGCAGACAGATCTTCAGATACAGCACTGCTTGCAATTTAGAACATGGGTTCCAATACAGACTTTGAAAATAACTTGCTGTATGACATTGAGCAAATCACTGTATACATCTGGGCCCTTCTCATCTGAATAATTAATTTTTTAAGGACTAGGCATTTCTTTTTAGTCTAAGTATCACTCCCATCTAGGCTAGAAAATGCAAGGCTAATTAATCACAGGCTGGTTCCCACTACTGATAATAGAAGCTTTAAACCGATTTTCTCCACCCTGGACCAGTTGACCCCTCCTTAGGTAGCCTGGGGCCCTTCATTCTCAGGGGCTCACCATACTGGGTTCAGACAGTAGACACAACCAAATCAGCTTCGGGCCCACAGCAGCTCAGAACTCCCTAGCTCAAGCAATCCACTAGCCTCTGCATTCCTGGTGGAAGAGATTACAAGTCTGGGCCAACATACCTAGCCCAGCTAGGTGTTTTCTAAGGTCCTTCCACCTTTAAAATGTCTAGTTTTCTACACAGAAATAAGTGCATTAGTTGTAGTTTTAATCGACCAATCCAACATATTGATCACTGTAGCCAGATGGAGTCTACCTAACAATTTTGTAGTGGCTGCAAATCTGATGTTGGCACACTTAGAAACTGCCAATATAATTCCCAAATCTAAGACACATCCTGTGAACTACAGACAAGTTAGTCTCACTAAAAGTATGTAGCAAGTTGATGAAATAAACAGTATGATCACTGAGTAAGTGAAATATAAAGTATCCTAACTGAAAAGGAATGGTTTCTCCAAGAAGCTCATCTTACTTATCTACAATTTGCTGAGGAACAGCCTAAGGGCAAGATTTAAACTTTAGAAAATGTTATAGATTGGGTAGCTAGATGGCCATTGGATACAGCACTGGCCCTTGAGTCAGGAGGACCTGAATTCAAATTTGGTCTTAGCCAGGTACTAGCTGTGTGACCCTGGGCACTTGTCACTTAACCCTGATTGCCTCTAAAAACAAAAAGAAAAAAAGAAAATGTTATGGATGTGTAAATGTGCAGAAAGACAATTGTTTCAAGCATAAGGAAATGAAATCATTTAGGAAGAAAAAATACTAGAAGGTCTAGGAACAGCAACTGACACAAAAATATGATCTTACTTTGAAATAAAATTTTTCATCTCTTTCTTTCCCTTATGGTTAAAAAAAATGCAATGCATCAAGTGGACGCTACTCAGTCCTACAAAGCATTCTTAAATTCTGGTTCTTTCACTGTTACTGAACAATCAGACCAAGAATGGAATTTAGAAGTCATTTTATACTATTTCCTGGAAATATCAATGACTAGTGGACAAAAAAAAAATAAAGCAAAAACTTGATTGGAAGGGTAAATAAAAAAGAACACATTACACTAGCCTTGTCCAAGTCATAAACTCAATGATTTAGTGCTAAAAGGGGTCTTAGAGGTGATCTTGTCCAGCTCCCTCATTTTACAGAGAAGGAAGCTAAGGTCCAGAAAAGATTCGGTGACTAGTGACACAGTTAGTAGTAGTAGAATCAGGACTTGAACCCAGGGTTCTCACTCCCAAGTCCAGTTCTCTTTCCACTAGGAGGCCAGGCCTGGAATACTCAGTACAATTCTAACTATCACAACCTAAGAAAGACATAAAAACACTGGAGATGGTCTAAGGGGAAATTATAATGGCTGATGGTTTGTAAGGGCAAGTATGAGTTCTAAAATTAGAACTCTTTATCCTAAAAACCTTGAGGTAAGATATGAACAGTCTAACTTTATTATCTATTATTTTGTTAGCATAAGTACTTTATTCTCTACAAATACAAATTAGTTTCTGCACCTTACTAAGTGTTTTGGTGTTGTTTTTTTTTAGTTGCCCATGAACAAATTAATGTCAACCAACCATCTGGTGGTAAAATCTCTGAATTTAGCTAGGCTAATCCTCATCTGGTACTGGACTCATACTCAAAGCCTTTCCACCTTGGTAGAATCTATATAGTGAAGGCAGCTTTTCAAATCCCAGGATCACCTCTATGCTACAATAAGGCACCAGAGTAAGATACTCTCAGTAGATATCCACTACTAGGAAAGTAGAGAATAAAAATCTATGAAATATTTTTAAAAGAAAATCATAGCATCTTCAGATAGTACCTTGTATATTAGGTAGTAGGCAAATAAAAATTTTATTTGAAAAAATAGAGTTAGGGTGCACCTATAGGCTTCTTCCCCAAGTCTTGTAATATCAGAACTAAGGGATCACAGGAAATAAGTAAATCTTGGGCAAATAAAGAGTATTATTTAAACATAATAAGCTTTTTGTTGTTGTTGTTTTTCAGTTGTTTCTGATTCTCCTTGACCTTACTTGGGTTTTTTTTTTTTTGGCAGAGATAATGGAGTGGTTTGCCATTTCCTTCTCCAGCTCATTTTACAGAGAAGGCAAACACAGTTAAGTGACTTGCCCAGGGTCACAAAGCTAGTGTCTGAGACTATATTTGAACTCATGAAGATGAGTCTTCCTGACTCTAGGCCCAACACTCTATCCACTTTAACACCTCGCTGCTCCACAATAAGCTTAAAGAACACCAAAAGGTTGTACAGGTTGATAATGGGTTAAAAAAAAAACCTTAACCAAATTCATGGTTTATTCTTTTCCTTAGAGTAAAGAAGTGGCAGGAGTAAGAACAACAGTGGGACAGAAAGAATACTGGCTTTGAACTGAGAAGATTCGGGTTTGGATCCCTGCTCTGCCACTTACCACCTGTTTAGGCCTGAGCTTCCTCATCTGTGAAATGAGGGAGTTGGACTAAATAGCCATTAAGATTCCCTTCGGCTCTACGTCTATGATATATACTGCTACCCTTTTTTGAGGTTGTTATAAAAAAGAAATCTCCCACATCTCTAGATGTCTCTTAGGTAAAGGAATCATGGTTAATTCTTTGGCTTATATGTTCTTATTATAGTAAAAATTTCCTAGCACCTTCCACCTCCCCCCAAAAAATTTCATTTCACTGAGGGCTTTTTCTTTACCTAGCTCCTTTTTTCTGGAGTTTCTACACTTGAGTCTCAAGAAACACATAAAGTACAGAATAAATGGATTCAGCTTTCAAAAATCCAATTTACATTCAACTTTCAAAGAACACATCTATTTATAATAAGACTTCATTTGTATAAATGTATAAATATTTGTATAAAAAGACATCGTATAAATGGACATTCTCTCTGGAGGTAGAGAATGGAGAATATCCTCTGGGGTTTATATGCTGTAGCAATATAATGTATCTTTCAGTCAATCAACAAGCATTTATTAAGCACCAACTATGTACCAGGCACTGCCCTCAGCACTAAAGATACAAAGAAAGGTAAAAATAGTCCCTGTCCTCAAGGACCTCACATTCTAACAGGGAAGATAACATGAAAATAACTAGGAACATGAAAGATACAAAGAATAGACAGAAGGTAATGTTAGAGGCACTAAGGAGCTAGGGAGAGACAAGAAACATCTGCAGAAAGTGAGATTTGAAAGAAAAAAAAAAGTGGGATTTCAGTTGCCTCTCAAAAGAGGCAGAGGTGAAGAGGGAGTACATTCTAAGCATGGGGGAGAGCCAGTGAAAAGGCAAGGAGACAGAAGATGGATTGTCATGCAAGTAAGCCATGTAGGTGGATCATAAAGGTATGAAGGGGAGTAAAAGTAAAAGACAAGAGAGGTAAGATGGGGCCAAGTCATAAATTTCATAAAAATCATTAGGTTTTTTTTTTTGCTATAATGTCAGTTAGATAAAAGAGAAAATTGCCAAAAGTGTCATTTTTATGGGCTCAGTGAACAATATAAAAACTTGATAAAGCAACCTGTCAAGCTGTTTAAAGATTTTTAAAAATTGACATGCTACTCATTGTTTAAATACATCATAAATATCATACTATGAGCAGAATAATCTGTTATTTTTTAAAAAATCCCAACTAAAGTGAATTCCCATTATTACCAGAAGAAAATATGGAAAAGTTATTTATTAACTGTAAACAGGATTAAAGTTCCACCAAATAAAAAAGCCATACCAAAAATGAAAAGAACACTATGAATATTATTTGTTCAATAGATACATTCTTCCAAAGACCTTTAACTTTCACATTATGTAGCTGCTGGCCATCAAGAATAAATTTCAAAAAATAAAAACAAAAACAATTTGCAGCAGTCCCACAGAGAAGTCTACTGCTGAAGAAATGCAGGCTAATATTCAGTACAAATTCCCCACTCCACCCCCAGGAATAAATGTGCAAGCTGCCAAGACTTTAGAAAATTAATATGAAAGACAATGGATTAAGGTAGGACTCTAAGGAGAGGAAAGATACAAACAATAATTCTCACCAGTTCAATTCCCATTTACTTAATGAAGCCACAGTTATATGGGCAAAAAAATACACCTAACAAACTTATTGGCTTTGAAAAAAAAGTTGCCTAGTTACCTATTTTTCTCTTGTAGTTTAAAATGAAGCACTAATAACTGCTTCTCTCTATTCGAGAAAATCTGCTTTTAAAAAATGGAAAGTAGCCTGGCAAAAATTAAGGCTAGATCAACACCAACATCTATCACAAAACAAGCTCCAATTGGATACATGACCTAAATTTAAAAAACTACATATCATTTAAAAAATTATCTGCAAGTGGAGTGAAGTATCCTGGACAACTTTGGCTACCTAAACATGGGATACAGATGATTAGAGGATTAAATGGATGATTTCAATGACAAAAAATTTGAAGGTTTTCATAAAGACAACTCTGAGGTTCCATCTTATCATACCCACCAGTTTGGCAAACTTGGCAAAGATGACAAAAGATAAGATAATGCTGGGGTCCTCGCACAAAGGCATGGACACTAATACACTGAGAGTGGAGCTGTGAATTGGCCCCAAAGTTCTGGTAAACAATTTGGAATTACATGGAAAAAATTCACTAAACCAGAGGTTGTCAAATACTCTCACACTCACTGGTGACCCACAACACTCACCCCCTAAGTGTGACCTGAGCGAGATTAAAATGCAATTGGGAAATATTTAACAAAATAAATAAAACATAGATAATGTGAAGATGTGGTTTTCCAAGTCAATATGTAGCCCACAGGAATCCTTATGCACAGTTTGGTGGCCCCCATTTCTACTTGAGTTGGATACCACTGCACTAAACTATACATTATTTGACATAGCAATACCACTACTAAGTATATATACCCTAAGGAGGTGACTGATAGAGGAAAAAGTTCTTCCGTATGTTAAAAAAAATATAGATCGATACAGATACACACAAACACACACACACAGCAATTTTTCTAATATCAAAGAACTTCCCGACTCCCAGGACTCCTGACACCAGAATTCTATCCACTGCACCGCCTCGCTACCTCCAATGGAATACCATAAGAAATGACAAAATCTCCCAAAATTGTAAAGACATGTGTGAACTGATATTGAGCATACTCAAGAGATTAATTTACAGAACCACAACAATGTAACAAAAAATATTAAAATACCTCAGAACTCTGCAATCAATGCAGTGCCCAATCGTGACTTCAGAGGACTTACGAAAAGTATGCTTCTTCCTGCCTAGGTTAAGAGGTGGTAGGCAACAGGTGCAGAATAAGGTATACATTTTCAGATACAATCAATGTGTTAATTAGCTTTTTCTGACTACTCATTTGTTATACAGGAAGCTTCTATTTCGGAGGTAAGGAGAAGACTAGGGCACGACAGTAATATTAAAAGAAATAAAAAGCATCAATAGCGCATAAAAAAAGAAAATGCATTTAATAAATCTGGGCAGGGCTGCTCAATTATTCTAAAAGGGTTATCAAATAAGTCTGACACATCAGCACCACTATCTTTATTCACATCTACCATCAAAGGTTAAGAAGATCCTATGTCTCAATGAATTGTTTCATGGCACAAATGTCTAAAAATACAGTTTTATGTTAAAATTTTGGGCTAATATGATTATTTCATATAAGTTTCAGTGCTTGTTTTAAAAACTGGTCCATCTTTGACCTAAGAATGTAATGGTCAAAAAATAAACACAGAAAAGCCTTAACAGATACAATAATAATTGATAAATAAGTAGTTAAGAAGCTAAACCACCTTTCACTCTTACCAGATTAATCTTACCAAATATTACACTATTTCGATGAAATTTTTAATAACTACTTCTTAACGAAAATCCTAGTCCAAACATCTATTTTATCCAATACCAGGACTATCTTTCATCTTTCAACATTCTGGGATGCAAATTCAAGTACAGAAGACAATGGTTTTTTTTTTGGCTAGGCAATGGTGTTAAGTGACTTGCCCAGGGTCACACAGCTAGTTAAGTGTTATGTGTCTGAGTCCAAATTTGAACTCAAGTCCTCCTGAATTCAGGGCCAGTGCTCTATCCACTGCGCCACCTAGCTGCCCCTTGATAATGTTTTAATATAGAATACTGAAACACAAAGAAGGAAGTAGGAGGGATCAACAGTAATAACTGTATCTTTCTTGTTCCTTTTGAGAACATCCAATTTTTATTAGGAAGGTGAATTGTATTCCCAATAAATAGCAACAATATTCCCAAACAATGAAACAATTACTGTCCAGATGTTAACCCTTGCAATTAAAAGCCAGGTTGAACCGAAAAAGCAGTTCAAGAATAGAACTGATCTGTTTGGAAAACACTACTGTGTAACTGCTTTAAGAACCCCTCGGATGACCTTGTAGCTCATTAACTGCACATTTTCCTTGGGCGGAAAACAAGGTCCACGATCAGTCACATAAGCATAAGGGAACCGTAGTACCCACAGTCCATCAGGTGGAAGAGTGATTTCCTGCTTCTCAGGATAGAATACTGGACAAGGTGGTGGGCCTGGTTGTACCTGGAAAAAATGTAAAGGAAAAAATACCTTATATTTCTCAAAAAGGTAATTTAACAATACACATCAGTGACACAATATCCTAAAGAGTTATAATCATTGGGTTTGAATAACATATGACTAAGCAGATACGGTTTGCATCTCTAAAATTATACATACCCAACCTATTTAGTTTATAATAGTCTATCTGACCTATTTGGTCTATAATAAATTTCAAATAGCAGTAAGTACAGTCTTTCCCTAGAGATCTAAAATTTAAATCCCAATCCCTGAATAAAACTGCCCTATTTTAATAGAATGAATTGGTTGAGAAAATCAATACACTTTACTTCTCCTTTTCAGAAATCAATACTGACTCAAAAAATTTAAGTTTTGCCTGACACTGAAGAATGTATATAAAAGGTATTCAGTAATTTGTTGCTCAGTGGACTACTTTTATTTTATAATTTTAAAACAAAATGTTTTTTGTTTCACATGCAACTGGGAAATAAGATATATAAGCAATGGGGTATAGAAATCTATCCTGTCCTACAGGAAAATAGAAAGGGAAGGAGTTAAGAGAAGGGGAGGAGACAGAAGGGAGGGCAGATTAGCGGAAGGGGTATTCAGAATGCACGCCCTCTTGGGGCAGGGGGAGGGACGAGATAGAGAGAAAATTTAGAACTCAAAATCTTGTGGAAGTGAATGTTGAAAACTAAAATAAATAAATAAATGAATAAAATGTTTTTTAGTGTGATCCAAAGGCACATAGTATTCTTTTTTTCTTCCTTACCTGAGGCGTTAATATCATCTGTAAAGGAGCATCAGGAACCACAATAAAAAGCCTCATAAGTTGAGCATAGTGTGGTTTTAGTCCTCGACCCTGCGATGATGACAGAATATACAACGGCATATCACTATTGAGGGCTTTGATTGCAGATTCCTTTGGTCCGCTTCCCATTACTTTCATCACTTTGTCAGGGCCAGAGCACATGAACCTCCGACCACGAGAGTCTTCATACTCAAATCCCACAAAAGCTCGAGCTATGTCATCTCGCCGCCTTCCTCTTCCCATCACAACTGAACTTCTCTTTCCAGGAACAGCCTTATTTGGAGCGGGCCAAGAGTTTGTGTCTAAGTCTCCTTCATCTTCAGATCTTGTCCTGATGACAATGTCCCAAGGCATAAGATAATTTGTTCCTGGAATGAAACCTTGTTGGTCTAAGCCAGTATGAAAGTTATAAGACTTAGCAGGGCCTAGTTTGACCAAAGACCAGCTGGAAAATTTGGGTAAAAGACCTTTAGGGCAATTTGAATGTAGCATGCCTGGAAGATACTCAACAGTGGATGCCTGACGATCAACCAAGTTTGGACGTTTCTCAGTCTTTATTTCCCCTTGTCCATGAGCTTCAGGGTTGTCTCCTCCTGCTTGGGGGTCAGCTGGATATGTACCTAAGCTGTCAGTGGATTGACCAAGACTCAATGCTAAACTCAGGCTTGTGCTGTCTCCTTGGGTTTGAGGCTCTTTTTCTTTAAGTTTCTCAGCATCTATATCTGGAGGGGCAGGTGATGATTCATTTTTGGCAGGAGCAGGATCAGGGGTACTTGGCTCAAATATTGGGAAATTGATATGATCCAGTTTTCCACAACATTTTTCTTCTAGAAGCTATGAGAAATGTAATATAATTAATCTTCTGTTTCAGGCAACAAACAGGCTTAAAAACAGTATCAAAATCCATCATTTAAGCCAAATAACCAAATGCTATAATTTAACATTCATGAAAACCAATGTCAGATAGATCATAGTGAGCTCTTTTTACTGCACACATACAAAACCATACCAACATAATTATCACATCTTCTCTCTCTTACAGTAGGAATTTTCTATGGTAAATATGGTACATTAACTAACTATAACAATATAAAGAAAAAGTGAATGAAACTGAATGGGCAAAGAGGCCTAATGAGTGCTTAGAGAGAGTAACTGAAAAATTGGTATGATACTTCACACTCAAATGACTTATGATCTAATGAATTTGGATATTCTCTCCACATATGCAGACTGCAACCCATCCATGCCTGCCATTCCTATGTGACTCCTGTCTTCCCATGATACTTTTTTTAAATTAAGTTTTTATTGCTATCTTTTAATATCACCTGAATTTTTAATATCACTTGAATTTCCCTTACGTTCCTCCCCTTCCTAAGAGAGCCATTCCCTCATAACATGACATTTTTTTTTGAGAAAAGAAAAAGAGGGAAAGAAGAAAATTTAGTAAAATCAATCATTAAGCATTGTATGCAATGTTCCATTCCTTGGGGACCCCCCCAAGTAACCAAAGATACTTTATACACTGACAAATTAATCTAAATGTAAATGGTTAATAGGCTATACTGTAGTTCAGTGTTAGGTTTCTTTTAATAAAGCAATTAAACAATTGTTCTTCAATTATCTGGTATTCAGAAAACAAATGAAAATGAACATTAAGTAACTACCTGATAAAAGTCATAATTAGCTGCTTTGATATCAAACGGGTCATCTCGAGGTGCTTGCTTCCTTCCACAGTTACAGGCACCAGTGGATCGAGCTCTGCTGTTGTGATACAAGACAGGAGGATTTCTATCAGCTTCCGGCTTTTCTCCTATAATAGATCAATGGGTAATATTTACTTCACAAATACCAAGAGAAACTCAAGCTTAATCTACATTCTACTATTTCCAACCCCAGAACTTCTCTGAAAAATTCTCTAAGAGACAGAAGTCTAAAGTATATGGCAGAAGAAACTGAAAAAGTAAAAAAAAAATTTTTCTTACTTTAAAGAGCTAAGGATTCTTGTAAATCTTCACTGTTGCTTAACAACATCACATTGATTAAACAGCATCTAGCACAGTGCTTTGTTGGAAGTATGTGCTTAATAAAGATGTCTTGAATTATTAAACCTGGCTATAATCAAATCAAGTTAAAGTTCAATATACCCTTTTCATAGCTAGTTAATATTTAAGTAAAATTTTTTAATTCCATTTCCTAATTATTTGCTAATCCACTGATATTCATAAGGCTAGTTTCTCATGTTTTAATTTGATAAAAATTATTGATGGACATACTAGGTTTTTTTTTTTTGGGGGGGGAAACCTGCCTCTTTCTAAATATATAGGATTCTCTTTATCAACCAAAACAAACACTCAGATGAAACAAAGTGACTTCAATACAATTAAGAAAATTTCAGCTACCTGATTTAGGTAGTGAATGAAATTTATGTACACAGTGTTGATCTGTTAAGCTCCTCTCCTCACAAAGTTGGTGACCATTGCTCCAAAATTTGTAGCAGTCCTCATGCAACTGCATGGCATATTTGTGAAAGGCAGGGCCCCGGGCATGTTGGCTATATACCCGAAGGGCCTGGGCAAGCTGATTCTTATGGACAGTCATTGTGTAATTATGGGGCAGATTGGACTGGTAGGCACTGTGAGCCATGGGCAATGCTTTCTGACAACGGTTTTCTGAGAACTTTGTGTCAATATCCAAAAACCCCTCCAGAACTTTGATACTGCTTAAAATCTTGGAGGTTATTTCTCCTGTGGGAGAAGCAGGATCTTCCTCTTTCCCATCAATGGCCACTTCATATAATTTTGAAGCAGCTGCAATCCACTTCTGATAGGTAGGGAGTTCAAAGTGGGAAGGCTGTGGATTCCTGCCCACACTGTCATCAAAACCCTTCTTGCTTAGTACCAGCTCAACATGCTGCCACAGAAACTCTCGGAGGGTGAAATCCACAAGCTGGCCTGAAGAAGAGCTGGAGCTGCTGCTGTTCTCTATATGGAAGGAAAGCTGTTGACGACTGTGCTGTCTCATCACCTGGTATCGCCTAGGTCCAGAAAGGGGTGCAGGGACCAACAGGGACTCTGGGTCTTTCACAGTGCAGTGGCTCCGAAGCTGGTCCAGCAACATGCCTACAGGGTCTTCCTCCTGCCCTCCAGGAACAATGTACACAAAAGCCTGGTTGGCAGGAACGGTGAAGAGACAGTTGATACTCTGATTGGTCAGGACACGACTCTTCCGAAAGATTCGGTAGATCTGGTCCTCTAAGGCATGCTGGAGCCTCCTTTTGGGTGAGTGCTTCTTGGGCTTATCTGGATGGGCTGGGTCTTGGTTCCGGGGAGGGTCCACCTTAAGAGCCCCATTGAGTTGAAAGAGAAAGAGGAGTCTGGGTGGGCAAGGCCGGCAATTTAGCTTCCAGTCTTTGCCCACTGGGCAGTCCTTGATGGCACTCTTGAGGAGGGGTAGCACCTTCTGCCTCAGCCCATCCAGAGCTCTAAAGACCCGGTCGTAAGTGATATCAAAGGAGCAGGTAGGGTGGACCAAGAGAAGGATGTGACAGACGGAGAAGAGGTAGAGGAGGCTGAGGCACTGCAGCTTCTCTTGGTGCTTCCAGAACTCGTGGGCTTCGGCGTGAGGCAGAGAGGAGAGGCCTCCTCCCACCTCCCCGCTCTGCAGCGCTCGGCAGGCTCGGAGCAGCTGCGAGTTGTCACAGATGGATGTGAGCAGCAGGTACAGGACTTTGCTTTCCTGGTTGTAGTAGGCCTGGAGTAGGCTGTAGTCCTGGGACGTCGGGTCCTCCTTGGTCGCTTCTGGGGCTGCCACGCTCGCCCGCGCCGACTCCCCGCCGCCGGCCCCGGCGTCCCCGGCTCCGCCGGCCTCCCCCACGGCCCCGGCCTCGGCGGCCGACCCGGGCCCTGGTTCCGCCGGGTCCTGGCAGCGAAACAAGGGGAAGACCTGGCGGTCGCACACGGTGTTCACCAGCGAGAACTTCTCGGAGCTGACACGCAGCGCCGTCTTGCCGAAGATTCCCACCACGCAGATCTCATCCTCCCGCCACGGCGGCTCCGCCCCCCCCGCCCCCCGCCGCTGCCCTCCGCCGGCGACCCTGCGGGGCTCGCAGCGCCGGCCCCCGCCGCTGCCCCGAGCAGCAGCTCCCGCAGGCTGACCGGGCCCGCCATGATGCCGCGCCGCTCGCCCGCTCCTTCCGGTCCGGTCCGCCCTGGACACCCTTCCGGCACCCAGAGTGCTGTCAACCCTACTTCCGGTCCGTCCTCTATCGACCTCCCCTGTAGCTGCTCTTTACCACCTACTTTCTTCTTCTTCTTCTTTTTTTTTAAATGTCCCAACTTATGCGTTGAGGATTTCTGTCCCCTTTCATTAGTCTTTCGGCTTTCAATTGAGGAAACCCATTTCCTCTCCTGGACTGCTGGGAATGTGACTGTGCCCATTCATTCCCAGGGAGTTTGCCTTAGTTAATCTCTACCCTAAGCCAAGAAAAGCAGCCTTTGGGAGAAATGATGGTGATGATGATGGAGATGAGGATTTGATGATGATGATGACGCTTAGGTGTAATTTTAGTTTACAAAGCATTACCCACATTATAATAACAGCAAAAATTTGTATAGTCCTTACTATGCACCAGGCACTGTACTAAGCGCTTTCAGATATTTGTCTCATTTGATCCTCCCAACAACGCTGGAAGGTAGGTATTATTATCATCTGATTTTTACAGAGGAGGAAACTGAGGCAGACATTAACTGATTTGCCCAAGGTCACACTACTAATAAGTGTCTAAAAGTGTTTGAATGTTGGTCCTCCTGTTTCCAGGCCCATTTCTCTGTCCACAACAACCCTGTGGGGTAGGTGTTATTATCCCTGTTTGACAGATGAGGAAACTGAGGCTCAAAAGGACAAACTGACTTGTCCTGACACACAGCTAGCCTCAATAAGGTGGAGATGGAGTGTCATTTTTTTTTTGGCTTAGGCAATCGGGTTTTAGTGACTTGCCCAGGGTCACACAGCTAGTAAGTGTCAAGTGTCTGAGGCCACATTTGAACTCAGGTCCTCTGACTCCAAGGCCGGAGCTCTATCCCCTGTGCCACCTAGCTGCCCCTTGGAGTGTCATTTCTGAGAAACAGCAAGTAGACCTATTGTTGCTAGATCCTAGAATGTGTAGAGAGGGATAATATGCAAGAAGACTGAAAAGGTAGGAAAAGGTCAAGTAAAAAAATGCCAAACAGGGGACTTCATATTTGATACTAGAGGTAGAAGGGAGCCACTGGAGTTTAAGTAGGGGATTGAAATGGTCAGACGTGTACTTGAGGGAAATCACATTGGTAACTGAGTCAAGGATGGATTGTACAGGGGAGACTTTAGGCAGGAATACCAATTAGGAAGCCATTGCAATAATACAGGAAAGAGATAATGTACTTGGGTGTACTTGTGTGATAGTACTTATATACATGGAAAGAAGGGGACATATTCAAGAGATGTTGTAAAGATAGAAATTATAAGATTTGACAAAAGATTGATATGTGGGGTGAAGGATAGTGAGAAACTGAAAATGACATTGAAGTTTGCAAGCCTGGGTGACAGGGAGAATCGTGATGCTCACAACAGAAAAGCTGGGAAGAGGAAAGAATTTGGTGGAAAAGATAATGAGTTCTGTTGAGTTTAATAAGCCTGTGGGACATCCAATTCAATATGTCCAAAAGGCAGTTGATGATACAGAACTGAACTTTAGGAGAAAGATCAGGGCTAGATATATAGATCTGGGAATCATCTGCAGAGAGATGATAATTAAATTTATGAGACCGGATGAAATCACAAAGTGAGGTAGAATAGAGGGAAACGAGAAAAAGGCCCAAGACAGAGTATTGGGGGATACCCATAGTTAGTGGGAGGACCTGGATGAAAAAAATAGAGCAAAAGAGATTGAACAGTCAGATAGGTAGGAGGAAAACCAGAAGAGAGCAGTGATGAAACCTAGAAAGGAGAGGGTATCGAGGAAAGGGTGATCAAAAATGTCAGAGTTCAGGAATTTAGAAAAGGCTTTAGATATGGCAACTAAGAGATCTTTCTAAAAAAATTTATTTCTCATTCCACGCTGCCCCCATTAGATTTATTAATAACAAAATTTATTTTTAGAAAATGATTGCTGTAGTGAAAAGAATGCTGGATTTATGTGAACTTGAGCAAATTAGTTAATTTCTCTGGGCCTCAATTTCCTCATCTGCAAAATGCAAGATAATAGGATTACACAGTTAGACATGAAGTAGAGTAGATGAGCTTTCAGGTATCTTCTGTCTTTAAATTTATGATCCTATGATTTCCATCAGTTAAGAGATGGAAAACACCATTAATATTTAGTGAATATACAGGAAATGTCCAATGATTAATGCCAGGGTAAGGTCATTAACCTAATGCTTAATTCAATTTTTAGCATTTGGGGCAAGTTTTCTAATACAAATAAGGAAACTAGAAGTTTTATTTACTTTCTGATTGTTTTTCTTCTCTTTCTCCTGCTATGACGGGAGGATTGAAATGTGAAGTCCATATTCTAGTCTTTCTGATCACTTAAAAAATTATCTCTTTTTTGCCTTAATTCTACCCATTAATGTAACAAATTTAGAAGTTACCTACTTAAATTTCCTTTCACCACAAATTTTTGTGGTGGCAAAGAACTGGAAATTGAAGGGATGCCCATCAATTGGGGAATGGATAAACAAGTTGTGGTATATGATTGTGATGGAATACTATTGTGCTAAAAGAAATGATGAGCAGGATAGTTTCAGAAAAACCTGGGAAGACTTAAATGAACTGAAGCAGAGTAAAGTGAGCAGAACCAGGAGAACATTGTACATAGTAACAGCAATATTGTAAGGATGATCAACTTTGAAAGACTTAGCCACTCTGATCAAGACAATGATTCAAGACAATTCCAGAGGATCCATGATGAAAAATATTATTGACTTTCAGAGAGAGAACTGATGAATTCTGAGTACAGATTGAAGCATAATTTATTTATTTTATGTGTATGTGTGTTTGTGTGTCTTTCCGTTTATAACATAACTAATATGGAAATATGTTTTGTATGATTTCACATATATAATTGACATATTGCTTGCCTTCTCAATGTATCGGAAGGGGCAGGATGAAGAGAATTTGGAACTCAAAATTTAAAAAAAAAGAATGTTAAAATATCTTTTACATGTAATTGGGAAGTATTTAATGAAATAAATTTTTAAAAAATTTTTAAATACATATTTAGGCTGTTGCAATACTGCTCAACATTCCTCACATGGTAGACAACGAATTGAATTAGATATAAGTGCTTAACTTTAAATACAACACATTATGCAAAGACCAACATAAGTATTTTACTAGTTTCCAAAATGAAGTAGCAAATATTATGACTGACTTAATTTTAGTAGTTACACTTCCAGTCACCTTAATGTACCCAAGTAGGATTCAGGAGGCTGAATTTGATCCTCGAAAATTAAAAGCAATTCTATATCAATTATTATTAATAATAGCCAGTCCTATATCAATTAGTACCTAACCAATGTAGAAAACTTCCCAATGATATATAGTACTAATGTTTTTAATTTCAAATACCTCTACAATCCTTTGGGTTTTGTTTAAAGCCCTGAAAGAATGTGTACTAACTCCTTATAATTACAGCATGGATCCTCAGAGTACAATATAAGCCAAATAAGGGGAAAAGCCAGAGGTCCATCATTTATCATAAAAATTTTATTGTTAAAAAATAGCTAAGTGGCCCCAGAATTATAGGCCTGATTTTGTTAGCACTCAATCTTAATAACAAACATACAGTACACAGTGGTTTTAAGGAGCCCTAGGTTTACAGAATTATGAAAAATACAAAGCAAGCTGTGATAAGAGCTTAGTAAAAGCTAAAAGTAAACCTGGACAGCGTGTTATATTTCTTAATACTGGCATGATGGCAGTAGCAGCTTTACAAATATATAATTTGCATATACCTATATAGTTATCAGATGCCTATAGAACCTTCCCTCTGAATACCTATTATAGAACCTTTTCAATTTTTTGGTAACCAAAGAGGTACAACAGTATTCATCCTTTGTGAATTATCAAGTTATTTGTAAAGTGAACACAGTATAGAGTAGAGCTATTGTAAACTTCATTTATGGCTTGCAAAACACCATTCTTCAATAAGAAATGAACTGTTTCCTCCATGAGCATTTCCTTAGTCCTTGACTTTTACAAGAACAGCCAACAGGTTGTTTGGGTTTTTTTAATAGTACGTTTCATTTTTGGCATGTGTGTCTTACTATTATTTCTGTATTTACCATTGAGGGGGTTAAAGACACCTGCATGTGTATCTCAAAAATATGATTGTCTAATAAAGGACCTAGGTTGAACAGACAGCCTCAGAACTCAAATGGGGATTTCCTAGGGCCATTGAACTTAGACTAAGGTTTGAACATTACTAGATATTTTAGGAAACTTCCTAAACTAGATTTTTGGCTTAGGAACTTTCCAAGGATCCTGTATTTGTCTCATATTACAGTTTTTCCCAGAAAGATAGTAAGCTTACTGAGGTTTTGTGATCCTGTGCTTCTTACCCCTGCTATCCTCACTGACTCCTTCACTGACTACTGTCCTCATTCTTAGAGTAGCAGATGAGTTTCTTGAACAGCCCCACAGCTGGTTTTGCACTTAATAACAGCTCCCTCTGCTCTATAGCTATACGTACAAGAGAGTGGGCCGTGTGCCCTGAGCCAACTTTAAAGCTCATGCAGCCACTGGGAGGAGGCAGAGTAGAAGAAGCATAGTACTTATTGGGGCTGTCCATGAAACTTCCCTTTGGCTTCTTGAATAGCATATATGAAAAGTAAGGGGCTGCTAGGGCATTATGGTGAGCTAGAAATAACTACATAAGATAGTGGAAGAGGTGGATCAGGTTCCTATCTCTTACTTGTTTAGATAAAGATAGGTATGGCTGGTAACCCATATTATCTATTTATTTGTTGGGTGGCAAATGTAGCAATTACAAACGATTATTCTTAAAATGAATGAGATCTAAGTCAGTCATTCAAAATATCATGACAAATTAGAGAAAAGATATGACAGATATTTAATTAAGTGTGATCATCTAGGCAACCAAAGGCATAAAAACTAATATCCTATTTGG